ACAAGAGCAGACATTTTCTAAATGTTACAAATAAAATACAAAAATTAGCAAGCCTCAGGAAGCTAAGTAGGATTTTTTAAAAACATTTTCTGCCATTAGGTGGTGCCCAAACCAAAGATTATTAGCCAGTATGCTAAATAAAGCAATTCTGAGAGAATCATTGACAGTTGAGATAACATGTGCTTGTGTGATTAATACATTCATGGAGTATCGAAGTTTTGGTTTGTTGCATCTCATGATTTATTGAACATATATACTGATACATATGTATTAATTTTCTGTGTATTTGGCACACAACAGTCGAGATGATGTAACTCAGATGTGTATTCTGGTGAAACGGCAAGTTATTTTTATGATACAGTAGTTACTCCTTATCCATGGTTTCAAGTAGCTGATTAAATCTCGCGAGACCTGATCCGTCCCATCGCTGACGTGATTCAGGAGCCTCCACGTTGCGTGCACTCCTCGCCCCTTAGTCGCTCAGTAGCCATCTTGGTTATCCGGTCGACTGTGTGGTCTCACAGCGCTTGTGTTCAAATAACCCTTATTTTACTTAATAATGACCTCAAAGTGCAAGAGTAGTGATGCTAGCAATTTGGATACGCCAAAGGGACGCCGTAAAGTGCTTCCTATAAGTGAAAAGGTGAAAATTCTGGACTTCAGGAAAGGAAAACCATAGACTGAGGTTGCTAAGATTTACGGTAAGAACACATTTTCTATTCATGAAATTGTGAAGTAGGGAAAAAAATTGTGTGGTTTCAAATGCAAAAGTTACGGCCACAGTGCGTGGTATGTGCTTAGTTAAGATGGAAACGGCATTAAACTTGTGGGTGGAGAATAGGAGAGCGTCATGGCTTGATCCAACTTTAGGACGTATAGTCAGAAAGTCAGTATTAGCCTAACACTACGTCACAATCTACATCATTCTCATTTCATCTCGTCACGTCAGCACTGTGTCAACTGATAGTCACAAGAAGGGTGAGTACAGTGCAATTAAGATATTTTGAGAGACACCAAGCACATTCATTCACATAAGTTTTATTATAGTATATTGTTCTAATTATCCTATTTTATTAGTAGTTGTTAATCTCTACCTGCCTAATTTATAAATTAAATGTTATCATAGGTACGTATGTATAGGAAAAACCAGTACATGTAGAGTTCCATATTCTCCGTGGTTTCGGGCATCCACTGGGGGTGTTAGAATGTATCCCTTGCAGGTAAAGGGGGGACTACTTTGTATATGTTCCAAACTTTAGGACAATTAGTACCTAATAAAGTATATATAATCTAAAAACTGCAGAGCATCATTAAATCTTTGCTTAGAGGGCAGTTTGATATCCAGTAGCCCCTCATGTCCTTCACGAAAGTCAGTTATTAGACTAATGATACCTACAGGAGTCATTCAGTTTTAAAGACAAAGAATAGATAAACAGGTCATTACGGTAAGCAACTGACTATGTTTCTTATTCATAGAAAGTCAAATGGTTATCTTGGGAGGAGATGGAGCTGTGCAGGGATAGGGACAGGGAAAGAAGGATATGCAAAAAAAAAAATGCAGACTAGGTTATTGCTTGGCTTTTTTAAAATGACAATTGCTTGCCAAGAGTAGTAATAAAACATGTGAATAAACCAGTTGGGGGACTTTCTCATCCCAAGTAATCAGGACTCTCTCAAGGAACAAATTGTTACAGTTTCCCCTAAAGTATTTATACATAAATATTCATTAANAGAACTACATAGAATTGTATAATAAACCCCTATGCATGCATCATCCAGTTTAAACCATTTTTTAATTCATGGATGATTATGTTTGCTCTATACCCTACTTACTTCCTTCTCTGTGATATTTTAAGCAAATTCCAGACATATCATTTTATCTAATATTAATTAAAAATTTTTGAAAGACTATCTTGAGTTGTATAAAGACATTTGAGTTGATGTCTTTAAAAAAGCTAAACTTTTTATTGGAACTGTAACATAAAGAACAATGCATAAAATTTATAGTTTAGCAAATTGTGATAAAGATGACACATGCAACTGCCACCCGAGATATAATATTCCTTACTAATTACAGTTCTCTGTCTACCATCCTGACTTTTGTTTTTAAAATGAACCATAAAATAATATCAACCATAAAATACGCATATGTCAACCTTAAAAATTTGGAAAATATGACTGTTCCTTTTGTGAGAAAACTATTGTATAATTAAAAATAATGTTATGGAGACTTTAATAATAAGTGCTTATGATAAAATATGAGAGAAAGCTGGTTATATAAATGTTATGGTATCTTAGCTATATAAAAATTTCATAGAAAAATTGATAAGAAAATCACCATTGTTAAAATTTATCTCTCCTGTTAAATCAAGCTTGTATTTGGGTTAACTTTTTATGAGTGAAGTGACAAGAATAAAATTATTCAATTAGTGAGAAGCACCTCGATTAATAGAAAGGGGAATAGTCTAAGCAGTTTTGCAAAGAAGAGAAGCCATATTAGGTTCAAGTGCTGTAAGCGGATGTTGTCAGGTTTAGACTGAAAAGATAACATAAGTTAGGTGGACGAGCTCTTCACTTGTACTGTAAACATTATACCATGCCTGTCAGTTTATGAAACTGAGATAATATAAAAGTAACTTTTAGTGTTGACATCCTTGGCGATATTTTAATTGCATTAATTCTAATTTAAATAATAGAATAGTATGGATTTGTACTAGTTTCTTTATTGCAATATGAAATGTTGGGTATTGCAATGTGACATGTTGGGTAATGTTTGTTTCCTAATAGATAAGACCTTTTATGAAAGCGCACCTAAATCGAGATAAAGACAAAGAACTTCTAAAATTAACGCAATACCTCAAGGAGATAGCAAAATTAGATGACTTTTTGGACCTAAATCACAAATATTGGGAAAGGTAAGTGCTAATTGCTTATTCATTTCCTCTTTCCATTAATGAATGAAAAAATTGTCTGGTGATTGGTGTGCACATAACCATTAACTTTTATTTAAAGTTGGTAAATCCTAAAACTATTTTCTAATCTAGTAACATCTCCCCCGAAAGTATTTTTCCCTTTCGTCTTAACCTCTAACTTTTTCATAAACCCACGTCTTAAGGTCTTTAGTACTTCTAGTAGGGAGGACTTGAGGACTGGTACATTTTTGTGATACTACCTATAAATTATTTTGTGACATTAGGTAGGTCACTCTTTTATGAATCCTATGAGAATGTAATCTCAGGATAAAATAAAATACACGAATTTTTTCCTGTTAAAAATTAATCAACATAGTAACCTCTCTATTTAGCAGAAAAGTTATAAAATTTTATTCCACTAGAAAAAAACAATTACTCATGATTTTCCTTTCCAAAGATAACCACTATTAGCATCTAGGTTTATAATAGTCTTCTAGTCTTTTCTAAAATAAACGTATGCAGAAATCTATATATAGACTGCATATAAACATCAAGACTTTGAGGCAGGGAAAAAGCTCTAGAGAAGTAGACAGGATTATTATGTACTACAAGTAATTTTTTGGAATTAGATCTTTAAAGACCTGATTCCATTAATACAGCAACAGAAAAAAACTATTCGTGTAATAACAACACTTTGGCTTTTCCAATTCTACTTTTGGCTTTTCGTATCACTCTGATTCTTATTTACAGAATAATCCTACTAGGAAGATACGGCAGGCATTTTTATCCCTATCTGTAAACTGTACATGTGACTAAGTAATAGATGTAAATGCCACAAAGTGAGCAAAATTTTGCACTATCAAAACTTGTCCAGGTGTTCTGATTTTGAGAACTCTTTCCTTACCCCTATACCACTGAGGATAGTAAATTCGTAAATGTGAAGAATAGAGATTATAAAAATTTTAATTTAGTGGTAGATTCCTATAAAATAACATGAAGAAAATTAGCTCTGCTTAGTAAATTAATGTCTTTGCATCTTTACACTCTAGATCAGAGTCTTTTAGAGTCTTTGGCCTACTATCTTTATGCAAGAATAGTAGAAGTTTGAGGGGTTTTTTTGAAATTACAATGTTAGTTAATATATTACGTTCACATTGGGAACTGAGGCAGGAGGGGGTGATAGAGTATAACCTCCAGAGCCTTGTTTTGAATCTGAGCTTTGCCACTTTCCAGCTGTGTGAACTTGGGTAATTGCTTAACCTCTTTCTGCCTGTAAAATAGGAATAAATTCTAATATAATAGAAAACTCATCATTGAGCTGTTGTGAGGACTAGATGAATTAATACATGTACTTAGAACAGTGCTTGGCACATAAATAATCAAAAGATGTTAGCGATTGTTAAGTTATTGCTCATCTTGAAAAGTTTTGTTATTAAACTACTTTGGGAGGAGAGTTCGATTGTTCTCGTGAATTTAGCATATGGCTTAGACATCTTTGTTTTATTTCTTGCAGGTATCTCTCAAAGAAGCAAGGACAGTAGTTACATGTTATACTGGCAGTTATTGAAGACACTTGAGATCCATGAACTTTTTGCTTTTATGCTAGAAATCATTATAATAGTGCTGGACACTGAAGCAAATACCAGACTGCTTATACTTGGTCTTCCAGTTTTTTGTAAATNGCAGTGTCACTGGCCCTCACATGTGGGATCCGAACCGGGGCCCTCTGGCGTCCCAAGCCAGTTCTTAACCATCGCGCCACTCAGCCGGCCCTGGATTCTTACTTTTTAAATTAAGTAATTAACTCTTCCTTTGACCCCAAATCTTCATGTTGAAGATTTTATAATGCAGAAGGTCTTATAATGGGGGTTCTTTCCGTTAGACATGAACAGAACTTTCAGAAGTTAACATTTCGAGATACAGAGTGCTTTAAAGTCTGTTCACACGACCAGCCATCTCTGTCTTACGGAGGAAAGGAACACACTGGCATGGTTAGTTCTGCAGCGCATTTTGTTTGCAGTATTTCTGCTTTTAAGAAAAAGTGAACTACTGATAAAATTTGAGTTAAATCTGAACTTTTATTCTAAGGTAAAGCCTCTTGGTGTCATATGGGGAAAGTTTTCGGAGTTTTACAGCAAAAAAAACACCATTATGTTTGATGACATAGGAAGAAATTTTCTAATGAACCCACAGAATGGACTAAAGGTAAGATATAATTTTATTTGCTATGCTCACATAATCTGGAATATGTAGTATAACTTTAGCACTGTTGAATTTCATAAGTTTTGGAAGTACTGTGTTTATGGTCACAGGCAACAAAAGCTTAAGTATTTAGAAAAATTTATATAAAATTGAACTCTTATCTCCTTGGTTAGCCAACTCATCCAGGTGCTTTATTTTTAATTAGCTCTATGGAGCAGCACAAGCTTATTGACGGTTGACTTTTACCATCAAAAGTGAAAGCAGACATTTTATTAGGGATACAAACCTTGGAATTTCTGATATTCTTGTCAGCTGGAAAGCTGGCAGTAAGGTTTTTTTTTTGTTGTTTTAAACTAAAACTAAGAAAAGGTTTTTGAAAATTCATACAAAGTAAGTAGAGAGCTCAGAATTATAAAATGCCAGAGCCAGAAGGACGCTCAGTCACCTTGTCTCCCTTCTTAACGTGACAGAAATAGTCTGAAGATCAAAAAGTCCAAAATCGTGTATGTAAGTGGTTAATGATAGAATTAGAGTTCAAATCTAAGAGACTTGGTTCCTAGGCCAATGATGATCTTAGCATGAAATCACTTGCAGTCTTGTGTGGGTGTGAGACTGACATTTATTCCTGGGAGCATTGTAAAAATGGTAAGAGAGAAATCTGAAACTTAAGATTTCTGGTACCTGTATTTACCATGTCGTTGGGCACAATATGAAGATGGAAAAGATAGCTCTGTATTATAGCACTAAGGCAAATGGGGTCTCCATCTGAAGTGGAAATCCGGATGTTAAGACATTTTTATTCTCAGACCTGAACTTTTTCACAAGCTGGGTTCTTGATAACTTTAAAAGATGAGAGCAACACTTGAAGAAGGTACATTTTTGAAGCTTTCCTTACCGTTGATGTGGTCTTTGGTGTACAATGAAGGTAGCTTAGGCACAGAATGCTAATCTAAGCAGTGAATTGCCACAAGTGTAAAAGGCGTTGACTTGAAACCCCTTGGGGTAGATTGGTGGTTATGTCACCCTTTACAAATGATTTCTGTTTGAGGCTTTGGAAGAAATGCTTTTCCTAAGTGTGGTTTACCACGTATAAGGCACACAAATAACTTCTTCATTCTAGAAAAAAGATTCGGTAGATTTAAACTGAATTCTCTATGAAACTAATGATTATTACCTGTACTGGAAAGTCATGATATTCAAGAAATGATTTAAAAAATTTTTTTAAATTAAGATATAATATTACTTTCAGGTATCCAGCATGATTTGATATTTGTATATATTGTGAAATGGTCACTGCAATAAGTCTAGTTAACACCTCTCACCACACAGGTTACAGAATTTTTTTGTTGTGATGAGAACTTTTAACATTGCTTTCTTAACGATTTTCAGATATGCAGTACGGTATTATTAACTGTTGTGCCATGCTATGCATTGCATCCCATGACTTACTTATTTTATAACTGGAAGTTTGTACCTTTTGACACCTTTCACTCATATCTCTCACTTGCTTCTGGCAGCCACCAATCTGTTCTTCGTATCTATGAGGTAGCCTGGTGTTATTTTATTTTTTTATTCCATGTATAAGTGAGACAAAGAATGATTTTTGAGAAGAGCTTTAACTTTAAAAAATATGTATAATCATTAGTTTCATGTGTGTTTAGAAGAAACTTTATTTTTCCAGCCAAAATTTGGGCTCTATCCATCTTTGGATACAGAGAGATGATGATAGAAATTTCTAGTTCTTCATGTTACTTTAGAGAAGTTTTTTGTTTTTGTTTTTTTAACTGGAGTACTCAGAATTACTGAAGGAATTCTTAAAAATACATAAGTCTCCACCCCACCAAATTGTAATGCAGGAGAGGTCTTTTTAAGCATTGCATAGGTAATCTCTCACATCTCCTTTTGAAAACCTCTTTTAAGAACGTAATTATTAATGATCAGCCCATACTGACATAGAAGCGGTTTTGAAATTGATAAATACTCTTAAATACTATGTTTTATCCCGGTTTCATAATGCTCTTTGTAGAAATCTCAAAAAAGGTTTCACAGAGATCTTAAACATAAGACTGCTTATTTTAAAAAATAGTTTCCAATAATATAAGCTTGCTAATCTTAAAGTTTGAAATGTAATATGGAAGGCATTGTGAATTATGAACTAAAAGAACTTGAGTTTTGATCATGGGTAAGTCAGTTATATTCTGAAGACTTCATTTTTATTATCTATTCAAGGAAATGATGATATAAGAGAATGCAGATAATCTAGACATTCTTAAGTTCTTAAAAATGTTTCTTTGACTTGAGCAAGAATGGTCATATAAGCCCTGCTAGTGAGCACTTAGATCATTTTTGAAGACTGTTACAGTAAGCAGTGATGATACTGGAACAAGTGAAGTCAGGTGAATAATAAATTTTCTCCCACTTAATTAGTTTGTTAACTTTAGGCTCAGAATCATTGCAGTATTATAGTTTTGTTGCTTAATCGTGCTTAAGACCAAATGTTTAGAAAGTAAAAGGAACTTAGCAGGGCCTTGGGTTGAAAACCTTATTTACCAGCCAGTGGTGTACTTTGTCTTTCAGTCTAAATCCCTTCCTGCTTTTAAACTTGGAATCACTTTTGTACGTTGTATATTAGTAGTTTAAAAGTTAATATGTTGCCTTTACAATCTTTAGTTAAATGAAGGGATACTTTGAAACATTACAGTGTTCCAGGAAACTCATTTCACTACATCATGACATCACGCCTGTTTACTCCCAGCGCCAGGGGCTGATCTCCCCCCTTCACTGCTGCTGCTGTGAACCTGCACCTGTTTGGAAGTAGGCTCTCCTGCCAGGCTTCTTCCGTGCAGACCCTGACAGCTCTTCCTGGTGCCTTTAAAGCTGCCGCAGCCCAGCTGACTGACAGCTGTGGAAGGTCCCTGGCAGCAAGCTGTTCTAATGCGAGTAGATCGTAGGGGAAAATTTTCTTCTGTTTCAAGCTTGGCTATGTTTTTTCAATGATAAAGGAAAGTATATTAAAAACAATTTAAAACCTTCCCTACTCTTGATAGATATGGTATGGACTCCTTTGGGCTCGTCGTTCTCATGAGGTGACAGTGATGAAATGTTACCTGCTTTTCAGTGCTATTAT